ATTAACAATCTAGTAACTACTATTAACTAACAAGAAATTCTGATTAACAAATTAATAAGTAACAGCGCACAGATGAAAGTGGTAGTTCACTATTAACTAATCAATAACTACTTTTTTTTAATGCTTCCCAGAGAACTACTGTAAGAATCATGGTAACTAACTAGTAATGACTCAAGTGTTACTACATACTTCTAAAAGAATGACTAATTATTTGGATCCGTATTCTAAAGTGAAGATCATGGTAACTAACTAGTAATTACTCAAGTGTTACTACATACTTCTAAAGGAATTACTAATTCTTTTAAGCTTTTGAGGTTTTTGGTGAAGTTTTAGATAGTAATTCCCATAGAAGTGTGTAGTAACACTTGAGTAATTATTAGTTAAGTACCATGATCTTCACTTTAGAATACGGATCCAAATAATTAGTAATTCCTTTAGAACTATGTAGTAACACTTGAGTAATTACTAGTTAGTTACCATGATCTTCACTTTAGAATACGGATCCAAATAATTAGTCATTCCTTTAGAAGTATGTAGTAACACTTGAGTCATTGCTAGTTAGTTATCATGATTATTACATGAAAAGCCAATCCTAAAGTGTAGAATCTTCTAATCCTTCACAAGATATTTGCACACACGTATGAGGTAGGAGACATTAATAAAATCTTTTTTTTTTTTGCGAGGTATAGGTTAAATAATAAAATCACTGTATATGATATTTGGATGGCCGATATGTTCTCAATATCGATAATCGATAATGTTACTCAATATGTTCCAGCCGTCACCGTGACTCTGGCCAATTTTCTGGCATTCCTCTGGCATTGAATCACTACAGGACAAGTAAGGTCCCGACAACTGCATTTAAAAAGCCATTTCTTTAAAATTATTCAGTTGATAAATAGTTCTCTAGGAGAGAGCATAGGCTAATTATTTCCCAAATCATAAGTCTGCTATGCTATTACATATTGATAAACCTTGTGTATTTGTTTACAGCAGTTATTAATGTTAATGTAGTACTAGTCATTTGTCCTGAATAGTTATTGATTAGTTTTGCATGAACTATTAATCTTCTTCAGTAGTTCTCTGGGAAGCATAAAAAAAATAGTAGTTATCAATTAGTTAATAGTGAACTACCACTTTCATCTGTGCGCTGTTACTTACTAATTCGTTAATCAGAATTCCTTGTTAGTTAATAGTAGTTACTAGATTGTTAATATTGTGTTACTCATTTGTTCCTGTGTAGTTATTCATTAACGAAGGAACCGTATTCTAAAGTGTTACCGCCTACAGAATAAATATATATATGTTTTACACTTTTGTCATCTTAAAGATCAAAAATATTATTTTCAATTATAATATTAAATATTACAATATAACATTATAAACAACCACAAGATGCAGTGTTTAAATTCATTGGGACTCAATTTATACTATTGCCTTGTTGAAAACATTAGGGGAAAAATTCAATTTCCCAGCATCCCCCTTCAATATGGAATTATTTTTGTGCCGATAAAAATGAACGTAACTTTTCAAGAAATCAATGAAAATATAAATTGAAACTGAATAAAATATGTTTGAAACTGAAAAAGAATGAATCGCAGGCAATTTTTTGACTTTGTTTTTAATACACTGCATGTTTTGCTAACTATTCCTCATATTTCTTTTACTGATTGATCTAAACTTACAAATGCGCTTCAAGAGTTTTCATTTACACTTCTGAAGTTTTCATTTACGCTTCTGAAGTTTTCGTTTACCCTCCCTGAGTTTTCGTTCGCTGTTCTGACACAATTCTCTCGTGGGGGCGGGGCTATTTGCAGTGTGTTCTCATTGGCTACTGAGTTTTTGATTGACAGCTTCTTGACCTGGAAGTGAAGACGTCAGTGTTGCGTTTACTTGTGTGGATGTGAGCGTCTGTAAGCGCAGCTTTCTATTTCATTTAGGTGATATTAAGTTATGTTTGTTTTTGAATTTTATCTGTATTTACCTGCTGCTGCTACTACTTTGTCAACAGAAACTTTTAGGAGCGCAAGAGATCTCTTCAGTCTATTCAGGTGTAATTGTACATCAAAGTAGGCCTACTGTATATGCCTACTTAAAATATTGTGTCCAATGTTTTAGGAGAATATTTGTTTATTCCTGATGATTCTCTTGCATGTTAGGCTCTGATTAGGTTGTGCTATTACAATTTATAGAGAATAGCCTACTAGTATACGTGTGATATATTCAGCCATCAAGAAAGTTTCACTTCAACCAGGTAATCAAGGTTGGCAACCATGGCCATCAAATTTCTCATTGTTACCATATCCATTTACACTATCAAAATGTATGATCACTTAAATAAGAGGAATTTAAACTATGAAAATTACAATCGTGGCTTGCTGTCAGATGATACAGACCTCAAAGGGCATTTCATTACATATTTCACACAAAGAATATTTTTGTTGCCATTTTTTTAATCATGCTGATAATTTTATTTATTTCATTTAGTTAATATTATCTTCTAACATTTAAAATTGTGAATATATTTGAACAATCATCAACAGGTTCAATTATGACTTACAAAATCAGTTAAATGAATTTAAATAAAAAATCAAATAAATGTACATTCTTTATTGTCACTACAGCATACACAAGTATCAAAGTGAAAGTCTTGGATGCGATTATGTTGTGACAGGAAAGACCAGAAGCCACAAAACATTAACTGCATACTATACATGTAATGCACAGTATTCTCATAATATACATACAAAATGCATAATTACAAAGATTTTTAAGGAAATAATCCATCTCTGTGAGTCCATATAAGACAAGTGGATTGAAACCCATGTATGACAGTTGGTCGGAAGTGATTTTTAATAGTTAAAACAGTTTACATTATTAGTATTTTTCTTATCCTATTGTTTCACTTCAGAAGGCATTGATTCATCCACTGAGGTCGCATGGACATCACGGTCACTGTGTGTGGTTTTTAAAGCATCTTTAGGACTCGCAGAGATGGATTACTTTCCTTAAAATCTTAATCTGTAGAAAGAAAGTAAAATGCATCTGGGACAGCATGAGGGTGAGTAAAATAAGTGAGAATTTTATTTTTGGGTGAACTATCCCATTCATATGCTGTTGGTATGCTAATCCATGATCAGCATAGACTAATAAGAATAAACTGCAACCTCTTGTGTACTTGTAAACTGTGTTTGTTTTAATCTAGAGCTCCAAAGAAATTAAAATATTTGCTATTTTATAATATTAAAATAAAATACATCAGGTGTCTGAAGATCAGGATCCCAGTCATTCAAAGGTGATATGTCTGAACAAAGTAACATTATTGTCTGATGGAGACAGTTGATCTCTGGTATTATCACTCCATCCTCTATGTCAGCATCAGAATTTTGTTTATGGAAAAGTTGCTCAACTCCCTGGAAAATGAGAAAGGAAATGTATTATGATCTAACAATACAAACTGCTTTGAACTCCCACATGCAGTAACAAGTTGCAGACTTAAAATAATTATTTCAAACAAATTATATAAATGTTCTAAGGGATTTTACAGTACTAAATATTTACCTCCGAGTCATGCACCATTTATCATCTGTAATACTGTCGTGTAACCAGTAGATGGCTGTATAGCCCTATAAACATTTATCCATGGCTGTGTATTCCCTAGTTGCTGGATGTTTTCAGTCATTATTACTTGCATGTATTAGGTTTTGCATTTGGACACATATTAATTATTAAAGACTATTAAAAATTCAACATTTTTCTCCGAATTTTTTTTTGTTGTTGTTGCATTATTATTGCTCAAATATGGACACAGAAAAAGCATTTTGTTGCATTTTGCAGAATAAATATTGCGCAGGGTGATACTTCAAAATAATTGAGTGTTTACATATTATGAATAGAGACGTGAAATGTGGTCAAGTCCTGTCTCTCCTCTTTTAAAAACTCTGCATCGCAAATTAATCAGCAATTGGCTTTACATTGCCAAAGTTGAATCGGGCAGTGATTGACAGCGCTCTTGTACAGATACTGTACAGTACTCTAGCCCAATGTTGTTTGGGGTGGCAGGGGGGAAATATGATCTAATCGAAGACTGTAATGAAACCGTAACGTTAGATAAACAAGTAATTTAATGATTGGGCTAACTTACCAATTAAATCAAGACGACACTGCTGTATAATGTTATGGGCTCTCACTGAGCTCTAATATGCCTCTCCAAAAGCAAGTACTGTATTATAAATAGTATTAGTTTAGTATTAATTCATAAAAAAAAATAAAAAAAAATCGGACTTACCACGAGTAACTGTTAGGCTATCCAGTATTCTGATATCGACGATGACAAATTATATCATTCGTCTGTACTATTCCTTCTATAAGAAATCACCTCAACAATATAGTGTAGCAGTAAATAAATACAGATATAAACTTAATATCACCTAAATGAAATAGAAAGCTGCGCTTACAGACGCTCACATCCACACAAGTAAACGCAACACTGACGTCTTCACTTCCAGGTCAAGAAGCTGTCAATCAAAAACTCAGTAGCCAATGAGAACACACTGCTACTAGCCCCGCCCCCACGAGAGAATTGTGTCAGAACAGCGAACGAAAACTCAGGGAGCGTCAACGAAAACTTCAGAAGCGTAAATGAAAACTTCAGAAGCAAAGGAAAACTTCAGAAGTGTAAATGAAAACTCTTGAAGTGCATTTGTAAGTTAAGATCAGTAAAAGAAATATGAGGAATAGTTAGCAAAACATGCAGTGTATTAAAAACAAAGTAAAAAAATTGCCTGCGATTCATTCTTTTTCAGTTTCAAAGATATTTTATTCAGTTTCAATTTACATTTTCATTAATTTCTTGAAAAGTTACGTTCATTTTTATCGGCACAAAAATAATTCCATACTTCTAAGCCCATCCCACCCATGAGTTGTCTCTACATCTTAGCTGAAAGTTTGATGGATACTACAGCAGTTTCTACGTGATATAAAGCCACATCAACTCTTATAGATATCGAAAAACATTTACAAAATATTTTGTGACGTGACGTGCGTTCATAACGGAACTGCCTCAGATTATCAACAAACGCACTTCGGCTAAATCCATAAATGCTAACTGCATGTGGCTCACTAGCTGCTCTTACTGAGGAAATGCTAAAGTAAACTATCCAGCTCCAGTGAGTTTAGTCTTGAATTATTTGTTGTAGTCATCAGAAAATCTAGTTTTTCAAACCATTTGGATTCAAATGCGATTTGATCTGTGGACATGGACACTAACGCGACGTATACAACAGTCTTATTTTGATACGCACATAGCGCGATGAGTTGACTTGAAGGTCTGTCTGTCAGTCTGACCTATTTGAATGGTGACGTCACGCCGTTAATCTTTAATTTCCGAGCACGCTGTGCGGAATAACATTCGGTCGCACCGGTTTGAACGAAGCAGCTGGATTTGAAGTGCGAATCTGAGATCTGGATCTACCGCTAAAATGGGGTCTAACGGAGACCTCAACGCAAACTCGCAGTGTCTAAGTAGCACCGGGGACCTGGTCCTGGACAAAGCGATCAGTCAATGGATGACCTGGGATAAGGTGAGAATGCAACTATTTTTAAACCTCGTCACACTGATATTAGGACTGGCAGGCGCTTTGTAAAGTGTTTTCATATTGTTCAGACGTTGTTTGTCTTTGTGAGGCGGTGCATGCATTTTTTAAGTAGGGCATCTGCTCATAAATGCTATTCATTTTTGTGCCATGACCATAAAATGCAAAGTTAAGAGATAAAGCCTCTGCAACATTCAATATCACGTTGCATTTCACTGCATTGCAGTACCAACTTGAGTCATTCAAATGTTGGGCTGTGGTAGATCAGAATGTAATTTGAAGCACTATAAATAATGTACCATAGTAGTACCAGTATTCCTGGAAGTACCTTTGAGTACCATGTAAATTCTGTGGTGAATGCATTTAAGCAACATGGTATGAAAGGGATGTTGTTTGTATTTATCGCTGTATAAATACTGCCCAAGAACTCTTGTAACAGATGGTACTATGGTACTTGTCTACAAAAAGCATGGTATTGCCCCCGGTATAAAAAGTACTGTGGCTGTACCATGACACAGTGATGAAATCAGATTTCCTAAACTAAAATTGATGCTTCATGGTATTTTTACATGGTTCTCTAAGATTCTTCCAGAAATACAATACTTCTATGATTGTAACTCCAAAAACATGGTACCAAAACCTCTGGTAGTAAATTTACATACTTATTTTGTATGGCACTTGTCCAAAAAGACTATATTATTACATTTATGATTTGATCGAAGTAAGTACTATGAAGTATCATTTAAATAAGTGTCATCCTGCATGTCATGTCCTGTTACCTGAATGGCTGAATGTCATAGTCAGAGTGACCAGCCTCTGTCAATCTGTTATTCTAGCGTTCTTTAAAGAGAGTGAGATTTGATGCCAAAGGAGCTTGTGCTTTAAACATTGAGCCTTCAGAGAATGTGGTACATTATAACAGCTATTTTAGTGATATTCTCAGAAATTACACATTGTTTTGTATTGATGTACAGTTTGCAGCTCTTTTTCAGTTTTTTTTTGTTGTTGTTCTTTTTAGCTCAGGCAAATTTAATATTCATATGTCTGGCTGACCTCTTCCTGCAAATGTCAACCTCGGCCTGCACTGGATGACTGGTGTATAGTAGTACACTACAGAGCAACCAGCTGTCAGCTGGCAGTTGTAACAAAATGCCATTAGCTCAGCAAAAATAGACGGAAAGTAACACATTTCCTTTCGTGATATGTTTAAGTTGTACTTTTTGTGATTGTGTACTTCCAATGCTATTTAGACATTCATGCGTTCACATATTTGGGTGGCTCAGCTAGCTTACACGTTTGGATTATTTGAAAGCCTGTTCAGTTTAGGCCACAGAGATAAGCTTTCAAGCAACAGAAAAAAAAAAAATATATATATATTTTCCATCCTGACTGTTGAAATAAAATCTATGATTAGATGATTAGCGCTGACTCATTACTGATCCAAACAAATGCTGGGAAGAGTGTCTGGTGCTGCCCACTTTTTATATGCGAGCACATTATTGATTTTTGATCTGATCAATAGTTTACCATTTGCGATGGCCTGCGGTGTACCAGAATCCTGTTTGTCCTTAAAAATCCCTTCCAAATAACAAATGAATGAGTTAATGCATGGAACCAGGTTTTCATAATTGGTTGTATTTAGGGTTAGTTCACCCCGAAATGACTCCTTTGGTTAATCTTCGAAACACAAATACAATTTTTTATGAGTCCTGAGACGATTTGTCCAGGTAACCAAAACTCCTAAAAGGTTATAAAGACGTCATAAAACGATTCCGTATAAATCGAACGGTTTAATCCAAGTTTTGTGAGGAGACACAACCACTTTATGTGATGAGCATATTTAGGCTTTTATTCACATATAAACGCATAGAGTGCATCACATAAACACAGAAGCTTGTGCGTTCACATGCTAGAACAAACTTCAGTGGTTTTCACGCACACACGTTTGAGCTTCCATGTTTACCGTATGTGATTCACTCTATGTATGTGTCAATTATTGTTTAGATCTAAATAAAAATCTAAATTAAATCTCTTCATCCTATTAAGTGTTTGTTGGATTAAACCGCTTACGGTTTATGATGCCTTTATGACCTTTTTGGATCTTCTAAGTTTTGTTGGTTACCTGGTCAAAAACCTATCAGGTTTCATTGAAAGTGTCCTAATCTGTGTTTAGAAGATTAACCAAAGTCTTATGGTTTTGGATTGACATGAGGGTGAGAGTAATTTTTGGGTGAACTAGGCTAACCCTTTCAAAAAACTTGCATGAAATTGACAACATTAGTTTTTGTGCCTATAGAATCCTCTGACACGGGAACAGATCGAGTGCCTGGTGCGAGAGGGGCGTGTGGTGGAGCTGAGGAGGAGGTTGTGCTCCAGGATGACGTTTGGAACGGCTGGCTTGAGAGCCCCGATGGGAGCGGGGTTTGCTCGCATCAATGACCTAACTGTCATCCAGTCTACACAGGTAAACTGTCCAGGTTAACAGCATGCAGATGAGATCTCAACAGGTATTGCTTCTCACGTGAAAAACATAAAGGCATAAGTCTGACTTTTTCTCTCACAATTCTGACTTTTTTCTCAGAATTGCGAGTTTATATTATCTTTTTTATTCTGTGGCGGAAACAAGCTTCCATAGTAATGGACTGATGTAGTGAAAGCAGAAACGTATGGTATAGTGATGATAATAAGGAGATACTGTTAGAAGTAATAGCAAGAGTAACCATTTTAGCAGTAAAATGGGGGATTCCATATGTCATCCTATACATGTTATGTACCTGTCAGGGTTTATTTTACGATAATGATTTGCTGACTTATTGTACATTCTACTTTAACACATTCCCATTTTCTCAGCATTTGCTTTTCAAATCTTTACTCTTTTGCCTGCTGGTTTGAGGACTGCTTTTGGACTAACAAGGAAGTTTTGAGTTCTGAATTGCTTTATAGTATCAAGTCATTCTAGGTGTATATGACTTTCTTCTTTCAGACGAATACACTCTGAGTTATATAAAAAATGTCCCGGCTCTTCTAAGATTTATAATGTCTGTTTCTGTTTTGAAGTCCATAAAAGGGCCATACACAGTGAGTCTCTACTTGTGCCTTATGCGCAACTTATGACGTCGGAAGTAGCGTAGTGCGTCATGGCGTGGCATAAATACAGCAGTACGTCACATTACTCTCATAAGTTGCGCTTTACACTTAAGTGGAATCCGTATGTTTGTTTGGCTCGAAGCTAGTTATTTTACTTTATAAAGTTTTCAATATGAATATTTTTCTTACACAAACGCATCACTTCACTTCAGAAGGCCTTTATTAACCCCCCGGAGCCGTGTGGAGAACTTTTATGATGGATTTATGCACTTTTATGGACTTAAAAACAGAAACTGCCATTATAAACCTTGGAAGGGCAAAACCATTTTTAAAATATAACTCCGATTGTATTCGTCTGAGAGAAGAAAGTCATATACACCTAGGATGACTTGAGGGTGAGTAAATCATGGGCTAAATTAAATTTTTAGGTGAACTATCCCTTTAAGAGAGTGTTGGTTAATTTAACATCTTTCTCTCTTCTGACCTGTGTAATCAATCTCTCAATATTATTTTACGCTATTATGGATTTTTTCTTTTGCTATTGGGGCAAATGAGAACGCAAAAATTACATTTCTTGTAGGTTCCGTTTTTACCCCTATTAAAATATCCTCAACTATGACGACTTCCGCTTCTGAGAACCCCAGAGATGTGAAAAGAGTCCATTTCAACAGTGACCAAGGGCACATTTATCTGGAATACTGTTTATGAACACAAACCCAAAAGCTCAAGTCTAGTTGGTTGATATTTATTAAAGTATTAGGCTATTCATGGTCCATTCTGTTGTTATAACTATGATAAGTCTGTCTTTCCTTCATTGTTGTAGGGGATGCACAACTATTTAGTCAAATATTTCCCTGACCTGAAAACAAGAGGGCTGGTGATTGGTTATGACACTCGTGCCCAAGCAAGCAGTGGCTGCACCAGTGAACGGTAACATTCTCCACTCCATTAAATGAACTGTCTACATGCAATTACACCTTCACAGTGTTTATAATCTGGCATATTTCATAGCTGCATCAACAAAATAGCCTTCTCCCATGTTCTTTCTTAAATATTTTCATAGGCTAGTATTTTATCTATTGATTTGCACAAACATTTGTTGCACATGCAAGTGGAGGTTCATAACTACAGTAGATGGCATATGTACTGTAATCCCAAAACTTCATAGTATAGTAGGTGACAAAAATAAAATTTTATTTAGTTCTCAGTTTTCAATTAAAGCTATAGTTCATGCAATACATGTAAATTCTGTCATGATCTCCTACCTTATTAGATTTTTGAAAACTGAATGTTTCTTTCGTGTGAATCACAAAAAGACAAATTTATATGATTTAAAAAAAAAAATGAGGGTGAGTAATTAAGAAAATGATTTCGGGCTAAACAAACCCTTTAAACTCACCTTCTTCCTAATATATTTGGATTGTCGAGGAGAGAACTGAACATTGGCGGATGTAGAAGTAGATGTCTTGTTTTGCTAGTAAAATTGTCTGCAAAAAGAACCAGCAAAACTGCCTGTTGTGGGACAAGAGCAAAAATAAGAGTTCTCTCTTCCTGCACTTAACACTAGTGCTGCATTCAGGCACATGTTTAGCGCACTCATCAATTGCAGTCTTTATGTTCTGAAAGCACATTTCTAGAGTCAACAATAGAGTTTCACCTGGCCACTCTGCAATGCATAATATGTACTGTAATTTCTGTTATATCATGACCTTGACTGCATTATATATAATATTCTGATTAGTTATGTGTCTTGAAAACACATTAACCTAATTGCTATAACCAGTTTAGACATAAGACAGGAATTTTGGATCATACAAACTTAAACTACTTAATAGGGGCCAAGCAACGAAGGTGGAGTCTCTAACTCAATCCCTCCAGCGCCACCAACTGTCCAAAGTGGCACTTACGTTTATTCTAGTAAATGTTGAACCGTAAGGGCTAGAAACAAAAATGTAATTATACCCTGTCTATGATGTAATTTTCAGTCGTGAAAATATTTTTCCGCCTTTTTACATTTTCTCTGATTTCCACCAAAATTGCCTTAGATCTTCTTCAGACCATGCTGGAAAAAAGTTAAAAACAACCATTTTCAAATAACGCTCAAACAAATTTGACGAAGAGCATGCCAAATTAGTTGCGAGGTTATATCTCTGCAACCGTTTAGTGCAAGGATAGGCAACGTCGGTCCTGGAGAGTTAAGGCCTGTTCACACCGGGACGAATTTCGCGCGCGATATTCGCCGACGTTTAACGCCTCGTGACTAAACAAAGGGCGCCAATGTGAGTGTGCACACCGACACGAAAAACGTCACGCGTAAAAGCGTCATTTTTTAAAAAAACGCCTCGGGTTAGTTTTTTTTAGTTTGACACGCCACGTCAAAAACTGTCCGACCAATGAGATTGGCGCTTTTGCTCACGTGTCTGGAGCTTCTGAAGTTATAGTAAAACACAACTTGGGGGCGCTCAAACACAAAACGGTCTTGCGTACGTAACGGCGAAGAAGATATAAGCCAAGTAGCGTCAGAGAATGTCTAATTGAAGAGAATTGGCACTGTCTGGTTACTTCCGGTTACTGGACTGGCTGCAGTAACACGTCTCTGTCCATGCGGGGGCGCTCGCGGGCGAATGCAGAATGAATGGGAGTCTATGGGGTTTCACCCCCAGAAATCCACTTTTCTCAGGATGTAATTTTTTGTCAAGTAATTTGAAAGTTGCATTCAAAAGGGGGGACTAAGATAATACACTCAGCTGAAAATTGCATTTTTAAGATCACTTATCTGTTCTAAAAATCCGTTCAAAAATGTGATGACGTCACATAATAGCAGAATGCTATAGCGTGTTCCGGCCAACAACGGCCTAACCTGTAAGAAATCAAAAGGACATAAGTACTCGTTCATTCGACTTTTGGCCTATAATCTATATTGAACTTGCGGAATCAACAATAAAATATATGTTGATTCAACGACAAGCAGGAGAACGAGATACATTTAGCCGTTTAGCTCCATAGACTCACATTCATTCTGCACTCGCCCGCGATCACCTCCACTGGATTTCTAATGGAACTGCAACCAAGATGATACACAATGGGGCTAATAGGAAGTGCTAAGGCTCTCCGTTAGACGGGCTCTGGTAGCGTCTACACTGCCGGGAAGAAATAAGACGAGGAAGATGCAAGGCAAGATGAATGTAGAGCTGCTGGTCTCGTTGCTGTCGGAACATAAAGAACTATATGACAAACGCGACAGCGACTACAAAAATCTTGATAAAAGAGAATGTTATGGAGTGGTATTGCAGAGCAAATGGGCGCCATCTAATGTCAGGGAATGAATTTGCATGTTCACTCGGCTCATCGTCAGCGAAAATCGCATGGGTTTGAACACAAAAAACGCGTTGAAAAACGCTGCCGAATAACGCGCGCCGATATTCGTCCCGGTGTGTACGAGCCTTTGAGCTCCAACCCTGAAAAAAAAAAAAATCCTCACCTGCCTGTTGCTTTCATAGACCGTAAAAGAAATGGACACAGCGACCCCATAGATTTCAACTGAGAAAGTTGAAGCCCATAAAAGCACTCACTTCCTGATAGCCAAGCGCACTGCACAGGCTCAAACTGAGCTTGACGACGTAGATGTGACGTGAGCAACCGTTCTGACCTAGTAGCTGTGCCGAGACAAATCTGAATTGAAATCTGAAACAAATCTGTTGTTGAAATATTTTGTCCCGTTGCTTTTATGACCTCTCCATCTATGGGCTTCTCCCTTGACTTTATGCCTCCATGTCCACCCGATTGCCTCATAGACAGTAGGGCTGTGTATTGGCAAGAATCTGGCGATACGATACGTATCACGATACATGGGTCACGATTCAATATATCGCGATATATTCCGATACTGTGCATAATGCGATATATTGCGATTTTTTTTTTTTAAAGTAGGACTATCATTTTAGAAAAAAGTATTATTTGAAAAAAGACATGATGTGCATAAAAGTCAAACAAGTTTACTTTAGGTAAACAACAATTCAGTACAAGCAAAATCAAACTGCCAGTTTGGGACTGTGCTCACAGGTTCTTGGTGAACACATTTTTATATGCTCAAGTAAGCCATAATAAAATAAAATAAATACAGACCCTGTCACAATACATAAAAAAAGAAATCTGAAAAATCACACACTCAAAAAAGAAAAGACATTGTTATGTCAATAAAAAAAAGTGCTTGCACTATTCCTAGTACACAACATGTACCCTAGTACATCCAACATGTTTTGTGTTGCAAAAACACTAACACGATTCTTAAAGGAAACATTGAAGAACTTAATGTAAATTGTCAGAAAATACACAGCCCCTGACTGCAATGCATATGCATAACAGGCTAATGCATAACAAAGGCTAATGCATAACATAAGGTGCAATCTGAGGTGCAGGATCCAACACATAACACTTAGTGTTATAAAAACACGATTCCTAAAGGAAACATTTAGGAATGTAACACTAATTATTAAATCAATGAAAAGGGAAGCTTATTTAATCTTAAGGTTTTTGTGGAGGAAAACCAGCTGATCAACATGCTCAGGCTTTAAGACACTTCTCTGTGCATTAACAATATCTCCCGCGGAGGAGAAAACTCTCTCCGAAAGCTAGACATTCCAGCACGTTTGTTTTAACCTCCTTGTAAAGATTGGGCACAGCGATATCAGTGATGTGTTGCCGGGACGGTATAGTGTAACGAGGCTCCATTGTTTGCACCATATAACGGAAACCTTCGTTTTCAACCACACTGAGCGGACGCATGTCTTTACAAATGAAATAAACTACCGACTGGGTTATTTTGGTTGCACGAGTTGAAGTCGTTGGTAATTTGTGCGTTTGAACTTGAGCAAGGGTGAGTTGTGAGGGGTCGACTCGTTTAGCTTGCTGTTCGCTTAACTGAGTGTCTGAATGGTGTCTTGCTAAATGTGCCCTCAAATTCGTGGTATTACCAGAGTACTTAATCTTTCCCAGACACAGTTTACAAACCGCATGGTTCTTGTCGATATCTGTAGAGCCCTCTTTACTCTGGAAACCAAAATAATTCCACACTTCAGCACGGAATGCAGCAGGAGCCGGTCTTACGCGGGGTTCAGCCATAGCTATGTTTTTAGCTTTTAGCAAAAAGTTAGACGCGGTTAGGCGAGAGACTAGTGGTGCGTCTCAGCATAGCCATCTAGTGGTAGGGATTTTAAACACAACATAAACTTGAACCAAGTATATTTTTGCACGTAAACTAAAAAAAAAAATCGATATTGCGTTTTTGAAAATCGATACAGTATTGCCAAGTAAAATATCGCGATACTTAAAGGTTGTATCAGTGATTTCTGGCCCAAAAATAAATGTCTAATCTTTCCTAACGATCCGCTAGCTGCCCGCCCCATAAGCATGCCGTCCAAAAACCGCGTCTCTGTAGGCAGCGTAGGTTCTGAGATCTGCACACAAAAACAAATGTGTACAACCACCACTCAAAACCAAAATAAACAGTGTTCCAACCAATCACTGACAGGGGCGGGAAAAATTTATATTTTTTGCCTAACTTCTTAACTGTTTGGCCAAAAGTCATAAACTGGTCTCTTTTAATTCAGTGCAGCATACCGAGTTGAATGATACCCAGTTTTCCCATATCGGCCGTTTTAGTCATTGGCCATTTAGAATTTTGTCATAAAATGGTGTATTTTATGAACCATGACCTGAAGGCACTTACAATTTCATGATAAATTTTCCAAAACCCAAAGTAAAATGTATTATTTCAAATTATATATATATATAATTATATTATATGTTTTATAATTATAAATCATATAAAATGCTAATAGCTTTTGATTATTTTTTCATATTTTAATGAAACTGGCCTTAATAGATTCCTTGAGTCATACTGAGAACAATGATACCAATTATGCAATATTTGGTTGAACTTGCTGTCTGCCATTTTGCATTTCTTTGAAATAATTTTTTTTCTAACTCTTCCTACCTAGACAGTTGGTCTGATTTTTACCAAAATCGGTTTAGAAATAAAGCTCTGAACTTTTTCCGGCATGGGCTGAAACCATTCTCGAATAACGCATCAACAAATTTGATGGCATGGTGGCTGTAACTCTGCAACACTTGCACCAAACTTTGAATGTGTCATTGTCACCTAACACTGACCACACATCAAATTTGGTAACAGCGCCACCTATTGGTCCAAAGTGCTAAGCAATTAAATCAAATTACTAGTGATTGTATAATTGTATTTATGATTTTCCAGCTGTTTTGCCTAAAATGTATCTAAAAATGTCTTTAATTACTTATTGTTGCAGTCTGATAACTTATTCTTCATTTAATTGCTGCTTGCATCTATATTTTAGAATTATATTTGTGTATGTCTATACAGTACCCTACATTTGCTGTGATGAATCATTTTTCTGTTACATCAGATAAAACAGTGTAAATAACATTTCCCACCCTTTGGTTTATCTGCAGGCTTGCAAGGTTGACTGCAGCTGTTATGCTTTGTAAAGATATCCCTGTCTATTTGTTCTCTACATATGTGCCTACCCCATTTGTGGTAAGAAAATGATATTGATAGATTTTGTTTTAATTACAGTTATATAACAACAGAGTTGTTATTTTGTCTTGTCTTTGCCCTATGAGCAATGATAATAAAGAAAAGAGAGTGAAAGTTATCTTGAATCCTGTGAATTGTCTTTCCATCTTTTATTCCTCCAGCCGTACGCTGTGATGAAGTATGGAGCTGCAGCTGGAGTCATGATCACTGCTTCTCATAACAGAAAAGAGGACAATGGGTACAAGGTGAGCAGCTGTTAATAAATTCAGTTCAATAATTCAAACCTACAGTTTTCAGTTATTTCAGATCATTCTGCTGCATCACAGTAAGAGAATTGTCTTGAAACTGTAAAATTAAAACGGCAATAAAAGAGCTGGAGGCGTTCTAACACTCTCACACTTGCTATTCTTGTTACTTGGCCCTTTTTAGTTTTTCGATAATATACAGGTCCTTCTAAAAAAATTAGCATATTGTGATGAAGTTCATTATTTTCCATAATGTAATAATAAAAATTAAACGTTCATATATTTTAGATTCATTGCACACCAACTTTGTTTTTATTGTTTTAATACTAGGGGTGTAACGATATTTGAACCGAACCGAAAAACCGCGATACACCACCCACGATACGTATCGCGATACTCTCATGGTGAACCGAACACGCCCCGCCCCCTGCTGCCCCGCCCAGCCCCGGCTCATTGCACCTCATGTGTTATGTGTACACAACGAATACAGGGCTGTTGCCTAACCACCATTAACCAGATATAATCGCAATAAGCTCAGTGTTTTGTTACTTTTGATAATAAGCAAGGTGTAATCTTTCAAATTATGTCTATTTGATCACGAAATGCAAACAATAAATGCCGTTTTGGCGCTCTTAGATGTGGCGTGACAGATATCACTGTATGCATGCGGCAGCGCGATCATCTCTTCCTCAGTTACAGAATAAACATGAATGGACACCCGAAGTTATGTTGAAAGATACAGTATACTTACTGAAAGGCATCATAACTCGTGTAAACACTCAATCAGTGTTTCAACAGCGGAAATACGTCAATAAAACGCTTAGTTTTTCACATAGCTTTATATTTACCTCAGGCAAGTCATTCAGTGTCCACAGCTTGCTGGTTTGCTAACTCTTTCACTAAATAAATGCTATATATTAGCCTATATATTATATTTTACTTAACCTGTTTATGATATCTTGATTATTTAATGTATGTTTAAAATAGTTGTCATGAAAATAACAGCAACTGTGTAAATTATTATATAACAATAACAAATTAGAGTAAAAACATGTTAAAGCTCCAGTCGGCAAGTCTGGCAGATTGAGTGGATTTGGATTTACAACTCTCATGCCCCTCCCCCACTATCAACGGATACCCTCCCACCCAGTTCATGCTCGTCAGTGCGTGTGCACCAGATTTTCAGTGAACGCCAGGACTCTCAAGTGTCACGCATTGAGCGTGACAGTCACTCATTGAGCGTGACAGTCACTCATTTCGGTCTTTTGTCACGCTCTCCCGCCACACATTGTATTTCTCACGCTGAAAAACTATTTGTAATATATTTAATATGCCGCAGCGCCCAAAACTTTGGCCGCGCCGCTCTCACTCTGTGGAACCGGCATGAATCAAGCGCGTTTCCTCTGGTGTTGTTCGTCGAGCTACACAATAAGCCAATCAGAAAATAGCACTATTGTATCTGGGTAAGATTTAACGCAACAACCAATGACAAAAATGTATCCAACCCCCCGTCGGCTGGGTGTCACTCTTACCTGTCTTCAAAACTTGAGAGCCCTGGAACGCGCCCGTCTCATCAGCATCCATCAACACCATGGAGTATTTGGAGGTATGCTGTCCTGGCTAATCTACCGATAGATTGCAATTGCTAACGTCATTTATACTCTAAATGAGCTTACTTGATTTTCCGCCATCACTCTTCGTTACTGCACGAACTTCCGCGAACTTCAGGCGTGTGCATGTGATTGTAACGTGCGCGAGGGGTGGCGTGTGCCCGATCTGTGATTGACAGTCAGATCTCACACCCCCCTGCGCTGATTGGACATGATGAGCCGGGAGCTGTGGATTTTTGCAAAACAAATAACACGCTCCAGGTGGAGTTAGAAGCTCGGGTTTTTTTCTAAAACCACTTTATTTATGTTGTTCTGTCAGATTATAGTGTCGATTTCACTGAATATGATCAAAAAAAATGTTGCCGACGGCAGCTTTAATGCAAAAATTGCCTTATGTGCAGTTTACATGTTTTCATAAAATTTGTTATTTGATTGTTGATTATTATTATATCATTTAGGCTAAAAGTCTAGGCTCTGTTGTTAAGCTTTAATGTTATAGTAATGTGCAAGTAAGGGCTGTAGTTTACAGCATTAGCAGATAATTTTGTTATCCTTGAGAAACGTTTACTTGTAATTGAATTAATTTAAAGACAAGGACACAATTTGTTCATTAAAGCACTGTTTAATAAAAAATAAAAGCAATTTTAGCTTTCTAAACCCCCCCACCCCACCGAAATGAACCGAACCGAACCGAGACCTCAAAACCGTGGGACGAACCGAACCGTCAGGTTTGTGTATCGTTACACCCCTATTTAATACTGATGATTTTGGCATACAGCTCATGAAAACCCAAAATTCCTGTCTCAAAAAATTAGCATGTCATGAAAAGGGTCTCTAAACGAGCTATTAACCTAATCATCTGAATCAACTAATTAACTCTAAACACCTGCAAAAGATTCCTGAGGCTTTTAAAAACTCCAAGCCTGTTTCAATACTCAAAACCGCAATCATGGGTAAGACTGCCGACCTGACTGCTGTCCAGAAGGCCATTATTGACACCCTCAAGCAAGAGGGTAAGACACAGAAAGAAATTTCTGAACAAATAGGCTGTTCCCAGAGTGCTGTATCAAGGCACCTCAGTGGGAAGTCTGTGGGAAGGAAAAAGTGTGGCAAAAAACGCTGCACAACGAGAAGAGGTGACCGGACCCTGAGGAAGATTGTGGAGAAGGACCGATTCCAGACCTTGGGGGACCTGCGGAAGCAGTGGACTGAGTCTGGAGTAAAAACATCCAGAGCCACCGTGCACAGGCGTGTGCAGGAAATGGGCTACAGGTGCCGCATTCCCCAGGTCAAGCCACTTTTGAACCAGAAACAGCGGCAGAAGCGCCTGACCTGGGCTACAGAGAAGCAGCACTGGACTGTTGCTCAGTTTTGCATGTCATTCGGAAATCAAGGTGCCAGAGTCTGGAGGAAGACTGGGGAGAAGGAAATGCCAAAATGCCTGAAGTCCAGTGTCAAGTACCCACAGTCAGTGATGGTCTGGGGTGCCATGTCAGCTGCTGGTGTTGGTGCACTGTGTTTTATCAAGGGCAGGGTCAATGCAGCTAGCTATTAGGAGATTTTGGAGCACTTCATGCTTCCATCTGCTGAAAAGCTTTATGGAGATGAAGATTTCATTTTTCAGCACGACCTGGCTAGTGCTGCCACTAACGACTAATTTTCTAACGACTAATCTTTCGACTAATTTTACGGTTAGTCGACTAATCTAAACGACTAATTAAAAAAAAAAATCAAGTGTTTATTTCGTTGTGTCCATTTTATTTTGAACTCAACTGAAGGGCCAAAACATAAAATGTCACCTGTTCAAAAACATTATGTATTAACAATCTAAGCATTAAGTATCTGCATTTGCATTAGGCTATACCATATTAGTCAGAGTCCTAATCTAATCCTCTAATAACAAACTGTATGTATTACTTAAATTAGCTCTTTGTTCTGCCTTAAAAAATGTACAGTAAGCTAATAATGATTAATTTATGTACATTTCTGAAAAGCGTAACTGATAACATCACTCTGAATAGTAAAGTAGATCTATGCATTTTCTGTGAAAAGCGCTATACAAATAAATTGGAATTGAATTGAAAGAGTCTGGACTAGCCCACTATGAGTCGCGCTGAAAGCAGGCAGGCACGCAGTTATGTAGCTCGCGTTTACACTTGCGTGCATGGCGGGCCCGTGCCGCGGTTCGCGTGAATGTGAAAGCAACACGGACTCGGGAGCGCTTGTTCAGGAAGTTAAGTAACCTGCCCATGCGTTTTAGCTGATTATGATGCATTTAGTTAAATAAAACACATGTAAGGGATGATAGTGTTGATGATTTACCTTGGATACGCGAGAGTTGAGTCTGCAGTGTATTCGCGCATTGCGCGTGGAATCAGGGCAACACATTTGGAAATCCACTGTCTCCTCAAAAGAGTCCGTTTGAAAAACACAATATATTGACCCGCGTTCTGTTTTCTATCATGCGCCGTGCACGTTTGCGATGGCATAAGATGCACGCAAACTCAACAGGGTTCAATAGAATTGAGTGTGAAACCAGACCAACGATGCGGGGGGCGCCGGGAACAATCGCACTCGCGCTCGGACTCGGACCGCAGCAAACGAGCCCACTGTGAAAGCTCCGTCACCTGCCTCCGCAATTTTTCATATCAAAGCAGTGAAGGCGGGCGGGAACGTGAAGGAAAATGATAGCAGATAAACCAGCAGGGCGCACACGGCGCACAGACTGGTGTGTGGAGGTGAATTACAGTGAGCCGTTTGTGACGGGAGACCAAAAATAAATAGCGTCAATAGTAAAACGACACGTCGACTAAAAAAAATTGCCGTCGACTAATTTGCATGGTCGATTACGTCGACTAAGTCGACCAATCGCGGCAGCACTAGACCTGGCACCTGCTCACAGTGCCAAAACCACTGGTAAAGGGTTTACTGACCATGGTATTACTGTGCTCAATTGGCCTGCCAACTCTCCTGACCTGAACCCCATAGAGAATCTGTGGGATATATTGTGAAGAGAAAGTTGAGAGACGCAAGACCCAAAACTCTGGATGAGCTTAAGGCCGCTATCGAAGCATCCTGGGCCTCCATAACACCTCAGCAGTGCCACAGGCTGATTGCCTCCATGCCACGCCGCATTGAAGCAGTCATTTCTGCAAAAGGATTCCCGACCAAGTATTGACTATTGAGTGCATAACTGATAATAATTATTTGAAGGTTGACTTTTTTTTTGTATTAAAAACACTTCTTTTATTGGTCGGATGAAATATGCAAATTTTTTGAGACCGGAATTTTGGGTTTTCATGAGCTGTATGCCAAAATCATCAGTATTAAAACAAAATAAAAGACCTGAAATATTTCAGTTGGTGTGCAATGAATCTAAAATATATGAAAGTTTAATTTTTATCATTACATTATGGAAAATAATGAACTTTATCACAATATGCTAATTTTTTGAGAAGGACCTGTACATGTTTTTTTAGCCTAGCAAACTTAAAGGTATAATCCACCCCAAAATGAAAATTGTCATTTACTTTCTTCTGCAGGCTCTTTTATAGATATAATGCAGTTACTTTGTAAATGTGGTTCTTATAAGTTCAAAAATTAATGTTGTTATGGCAAAGTAAGTGTATATTGTCAGACATGTCCTTCTCTTTTTGTAAAATCCTTCTTATTAATATAAAACCAAAATAAGGAGTCCTTTGATCCTTCTTCTGAGACTTAACATTGCGTTTTACTATTGGTACACACTTCACGTGTGGTGGAAAAACAATGAAAAATTTAGATTCCGCCTATCAATAGGCTACGTGCACAAGCGTAGTGACGAACTTCCGCTATTGTCAGAAGTCGGCATATCAGTTTCCGGTTTACGACTGTTCATCCGCATCTGCTAATAACAGTCGTAACATCCGCATCCGTTTTTGAAAATCGATACAGTATTGCCAAGTAAAATATCGCGATACTTAAGTGTATCGATTTTTTTCTTACACCCCTACATGTCACAAAGAACTTGTTTTTCAACCTCCACGATTGAGACGAGTGTTGTTCATTATGTCGCCTTGTTGAAGTAAATTGTAGTTTTCCTTGATTAAATGCGCATTTATGGTGAGATTACTACATTTTATTTACTTAAACGCATTTATGGTGAGATTACTACATTTTATTTACTTAAACGCATTTATGGTGAAATTACAACATTTTATTTACTTAAACGCATTTATGGTGAAATTACAACATTTTATTTACTTAAACGCATTTATGGTGAGATTACTACATTTTATTTACTTAAACGCATTTATGGTGAAATTACTACATTTTCAGGTCAATCTTTATCATTTTGACCACGAAACATGCGGTGTCACTTTAATTCAGCGTTTGCAGCACAGCAAAAAATAGACTCGGTGTGGAAACGATCGCTGTGCTGCTGTTATACGTACCGCACCTGGAACGGTGTGAAAAGTGAAAGCCCTAACCTGTTAACATGGTGCGTTAGGAGCACTGCTGTGTGGCACTTTGCTCTGCTTCAAGTCGCTAACAGCCATTTGAGCTTCCACTGCTTCCTGAAAAACACCAACCTTCGTGCGCAGTGGCTGCACAAAATAGACACTTTGGGCGACGCGCAAAAAAATACAAAAAATAGTAAGTATGTGTTTGTGGTACAGCCGCGGATCAGTTATTCACTGTAAATGCATCATAATATGTGAAAGCACTATAGCACGCGTTGCTCCTGCACCGCAACACGCACTGCAAACGGGGTATGTGTGAAACGGGCGTTAGATCCACCTACAGTTCTTAGAAACTTAGATGTGTTTAAGAACTATTTTTTTTTCGTACAACAGCAGCACTCATCTTGTTTGTTTATTAGCGGATGCGGATGAACAGTCGTAAACCGGAAACTGATATGCCGACTTCTGACAATAGCGGAAGTTCGTCACTACGCTTGTGCACGTAGCCTATTCCTTTGTGCGTATTTTTTTAACTTTTCAAGCACAAGAACATGTGAAAGAATTTAATTCGGTATTCGCAGCACTATTTTTTTATGTGTGCACAGACTGCTGCCTTTCATATAGTACACTGTATTGACTTCTTTCACATCTTCATTTGCTTGAATGGACAAACACACACAAAATTGTCAAAATATCCTTTTTTTGTCTTAAGTGAATGTAATTGGTTAAGAAAGAAAACGCACGTGTGTCAGTATATTGTATCCGTGCATTCGCTCTTATGAAAGCAGCCTAATATACCTTCTGCAGTCATTAATGTTAATCAAAAAAGAAAATGACTCCATTGTTGACTAAATAACGTTTGTAACTTTAATAAGGATTCACCTATATTTTATTTATAATGTGAAGACAGTGCAATGTTATTTTACATTTGATGACATTTGATTTCAATAAATGTACTAGACCTACCTGAGAAACTTAAACTGTATTTTATTTGTTCAGTTGTATTTATTTGTTCTTATTTTATTTATGTATACTTTTCTTGAACTTTATATTAGTTAGTCTAGTTGTTTTTGCTGTGATATTTTTGTTGAAACTGGGAATTGATACGAATCGGAATCGATAAGCAAATTTGGAATCGGAATCGTTAAAATTCTATTGATACTCAACCCCAATTACAATAAACCTAATATTCTCATATTTGCAAGCCTGATTTTTTTCTTCATTGTTGCATTCTGAAATGTTTCTCAGTGGAATAGCATGTTGTATTCCTATCATTGCTGCAAGGGACTGGTTTAAAAGCACTGACTTTTGAAAGTAACACAAGAGCGCACTCGAGGATGTCTTGTACATTCCTTTAGAACAGGAACACGGTGTTCAATTGATGTGAATCAACCTTGTGTTTTTTCTGTAGGTTTACTGGCACAATGGTGCACAGATCTCCTCGCCGCACGATAAGGAGATCTTGCATTGCATTGAGGAGAGTACTGATCCGTGGGAAGAGTCCTGGAATGTGGACCTAGTTGAGAGCAGCCTGTTAAGGAGTGACCCACTGGAGGACGTCTGCCGCTGGTACATGGAAGAGCTAAACACTGTCTGCTTCCACAGGTGCAGTCTCTCGCCTGTACTAAGAGAGTGTACTATTGGTGTTTTTAAAGGGGTCATATAATGCCATTTTTGTACAAGCTAATATGATTCTTTAGGGTCTAAATTAAAAGTTTGTAATATACTTTAATTACAAATTCTCATTAGTATTGTAAGAAAACACCTATTTTACCTGGTAAAAAACAGCTCTGTTTTCAGCACGCCGTTTCAGTGTATATGACTTTAAATGATCATGAGCTTTGCTGACTCCGCCCCTCTGTTCTATGCGTACACCAGAGCCGGCTCTGGCGTACACCGTTTGTAACACTGTAAAATACTGTAAAAATAAAGTGCCAAGATGAACCGAAGAGTGTTTTTCGTAGCAATGATATAGATGAACTGTTTTTGGTTTCCCAAAAAACTTCAGTTAAGTGTTCTTAGAAGCATGTTTTGGTGACATTGAGTGTGAAGAACCTTTTATATTCTAGAAAACTTTTTTTTCCCTTTATCAGTGACGTATATCTGAGTGAAACTGCTTCTCGAATAAGAATGTAGGGCAGATGAATTGATGTAGGATTTTGTCCATGAAGAATTTTTGGGATGTTTGAGGTTTGCTATTGGTGGATCTCATGTGAGTGACAGGTTGCCCCGCCCTCACGCCAGTAAACGCATCATCAGAGAAGAGATGAACTGCAAGATGGAAGGGAAGTTATTTTGATTAAAGATTACAAGGACACAGGAATTAATATATATATATATATATATATATATATATATATGTGCACAGATAAATCACTTATAATAATACATACTGCAATATTTCATGAAAGATAAGAACGGTCAATTTTTATTTCATGGTGACTTTAAGAAACACTACGATCTACAAAGTCTAAATAATTTATTTTGGTTAGAGGAACTAAGTATATAGAAGTTTTTTTCAAGTATGTGTTTGATTTTGACCACTTTTTTTTCTTTTTCTTTTTCTCTCATTGCAGAGAACTTAACACAAAGTCTCCCCTGAAGTTTGTGCATTCCTCTTTCCATGGCGTTGGTCACAACTTTGTCCAGAGAGCTTTTCAGCAGTTTGGCTTCCCACCTCCGATCCCTGTTCCAGAACAGAAAGATCCAGATCCTGAATTCTCCACTGTCAGTTGTCCTAACCCAGAGGAAGGAGAATCTGTCTTGGTAAAATATTTTATATACATATATATATATATATATAATTTCGACTTTTATAACTTGTATTACGTTACATAATTCTAAATAACTATGAAATTTATTTAATTACCATAACAATTAAAATATATATATATATATTTATACTTTATAAATACTTTATTTGGAACCATGAGCATATTGGCTTATTAATTAGTGATTTATTATTAGTTTGTCCTTGAAAGACCAAGGGTTCTGCCAAAACCAGCTAGCCAAACCATGGCCCCTTGGTTCTAGCACGGTGAAGGGGAAAACAATGCTAATTTAACATGCGGACATACTGTAACCATTGAGTTGTGTTGCACTGACCGTTTAAGGAGCTGGCCCTTCGTTTGGCCGAGAGAGAAGAGGCTCGCATTGTCGTGGCCACAGACCCTGATGCTGATCGCTTGGCTGTTGCGGAGCTGAATGACAAGTACTTCATCATTAATACCCTCAGCAGTAAAACGTGTCAGGTCTACTTGACAGTACTTGTTCTGAACTCTTGAGTTAAGTAGTAATTAGTATTCTATGTTTTTTATGGGCAGTTGCAGTTGGAAAGTGTTCACGGGAAATGAGTTGGCTGCATTGCTCGGCTGGTGGATGTTGTTTAACTGGAAGGAAGCACATCCTGACCCAGCAGACACTGAGGGAGTATACATGCTGGCCACCACCGTTTCTTCCAAAATACTTAATGCCTTGGCACGCATTGAAGGGTTTCATTTTGAGGTTAGTTCAAGTCTCAATTTGAAGTTTGTACTATACTAAGGCTTGAAATATCTTGAGTGCTTTATTATTCTTGAATCGAGATTATGATCTAAATCGGGGGTTTGGATGCTCATATAAGATCCGCATCCTTAAATTTAAAAGGCAGCTATAATTTTTTTATGTATAAAGACCCAATAAAATATGTGTAAAATGTCCACGTACCCCTTAGTGCAGCACTTCCCCTCAGATTTGAAATCTAAATTAATTGGTTTGCTAAACAAAATACAAGGCCACTGCTTAATAGTTTAGCTTTTTTTTTTTGTCCTCCTTCACCCTAGGAAACATTGCCTGGCTTCAAATGGATTGGAAATAGAATCCATGAATTAGCAAAAGCAGGAAAGGAGGTCATTTTTTCCTTTGAAGAATCCATTGGTAAGTGTTTAACTGCAGATACACGTGAAGTTCAAGCAATGCTGTCGCCAGCACGTTTGTTTATTCTTTAAATTAGAGGGATTGTTCATCCAAAATTAAAAAAAGTTTGCTGTCCTTCCCTGTTCATTCCAAACATAAAAGGGCTTTGAACACGGTGTCAAACCTGTGCAGTCTGAAACGATGGTAAAATGTTAAGACTTGACTCTTCGCAACAGGCAGCCAATCACATGCTTCACATTCACAGTCATGGAAACAATCCGCATTGTATAAACAGTAGTTTCAGCGTTTGGGGGAGACTGATTCCGTTTACAAAGGGGATTAGAAAAACCCAGGGTTAACCATTTCAAGTGTGAAAAGTCCTAAAGGAAGATTCTTTGAGGAAAAAATGAATCTTATTTTGGGGTGGGGTCCATACAATTAAAGTCAGTGGGGTCCAGTGTTGTTTTGAAGCACTTTGACTTTGTATGGACAAAACAATTGAAATATTCAAATTTCTCCTGTTAACACACATTTCATAATCCAATCGATTCCCAAAAGATAAAGTCTGATCTTTTTTAAGCTTCCTCTGTCATTTTGAAATGTCACACAATGGTTTGTGAACACCATTTTAATTTGCTTGAAATTTAACAAGGCTTGTATTTTTTTTCCATACAAAGTCAATGGGCTTCAAAACAATACTATATGGAACAATAATGTTATGTCTCATCCTTTATTTATGATGCCAGGGTTTTTGTGTGGGAACATGGTTCTTGATAAGGATGGAGTCAGTACATCAGCTGTTGTGGCTGAGATGGCTGCTTATCTGCACACCAAAAACCTTTCCTTGAACCAACAACTATGCAACATCTATGAAATGTGAGCATCTATTCTGCTACACGTCTTTGGTTTTCTTTATTAAGTACTTATTATTGAAGATTTCAAAGAACTATGACATTTTTTGTGTGATTCTGTACCATCGCTTTCACATTTTACTTTGATCATAATACTCTGATTGTTCTCTTCACTGTTGTACCCCAGATATGGCTATCACATTTCCAGAACATCCTATGTCCTCTGCAATGACCCACCCACTATTTACAGAATATTTAGCCGTCTGCGCAACTTCGGAGGCCCGGGTGTATACCCAGAATTATGTGGTGATTACTGCATCACACACATCAGAGATGTGACCACTGGTTATGACAGCAGTCAGCTTGACAAAAAATGTGTATGTCTTAGCAGATCTCCTGTATATTTCTTGATTTTAGGTCAATGACAAACAGTTTGAGTGGAATAATTAGTCTTTTAATATTTCCTTTTAGGTCCTTCCATTAACAAAAAATAGCCAAATGGTTACATTCACATTTCAGAATGGCATTGTTGCCACGCTTAGGACCAGCGGGACTGAGCCAAAGATCAAGTATTACACAGAATTCTGTGCACCACCAGGAGAACGGTTTGGATCTTCTATTAGAAGTTTTAAAATGGATGGTATTGTTGGTACTGGACTACTTAACTGGATAGCTGGTTTTGTTTTAATTTTGAATTAAAAGTATGAGTGTCTTTGTTATGGTGCGTTCACACCGGACGCAAATAGCGCGTCAGGCGCGAGTGATTTCAATGTTAAGTCAATGCAAAGACGCGTTACGCGCGTAAAAAATCCTGCGGCGCGGTAGACGCGAATACGCCTCATTCGTGTGTCAAGTTCGCGCGAATGGCGCGAATTGAGCGTCTGGCGCGTTAAGCGCGTTACGCGCGAATGTTTTATGTAGTGCTTTTTGTGCATTCTCGCGTTTGACGCAAAATTCGCGTCTGCCGCCCGAGTTGAAAAATCTGAACTTCTGCGTCAATTCGCGGCGCGTTAACCAATCAGGAGCCTGCTTGCTGCTGTCACGTGGTGAAGTGACAGTTTATAATGTTATTTTATGTTAGGCCTCAATAAATTATTTTGTAATATGACAAATGCTTGGTGTGCAAAGCAAATCTTTCACATAAAAACTCTATTTCAATATATGAGAGATACTCATTTTGTATTGAATGCTATTTATTCCATATCTATTCTAGATTATATGAAACATTATTATTCTAATGTAAAGACAACAAACACAATTTAGTGTATAAAAACTTTAAAAAAAATCACAGGACAGGTTTCACTTTTGGAGGCTGGCTCCATTTATTATCAAAACAAAAATAAATGACAGATTAGGTGGATGCGGGCGAGGGTGAAACTCGCGCCGGGCTGTAGAGCGCGGGCTCGACAGGCATAGACCACTCGAGGCCGAGGCCTTATACGGCCTACGCTGTCCTCGTCAGCGTCCTCACCGTTAGGTCCACCAAACCTAGCTCCTGGCAAATAGTGAAACTCCTGAAACCCTCCGGAGGGTCTGGTGGACCCGGTACAGCGACGATGTCCCCTACGCAGCTGTTTCTGCTCTCCAGAGCATATACCAGCGGTGACTCTCTCCAATAATGCTAATGCTCGATAAACATCTAAAAAGATGGCCGCCAACGGGTTTCGAAACTTTCGCCTCCGGATTTCGCCTCTGACGCGCGTAAATTTCGCTTCAAACTTTTGTTTTTACGCGCGTCAATTTCGCCATTGACACGCGAATTAACACCAAGTGGTCAAGCGTCAAACTAGACGCGGTAGACGCGAATTTGACGCGCTATTCGCGTCCGGTGTGAACACACAGTTAGACAAAATGCCAAATCAAGTGGCATTCATTTCAAACAAAAAATGGGGTAACTTCCTTTCGATAGTCCATATGAGACATTAGAATGTAAGTCATTAGACTGTCTATTTAAAGGGATAGTTCGCCCAAAAAAATTTAATTCTGTCATTAATTACTCACCCTCATGCCGTTTCAAACCCATAGGACTTTCGTTCATCTTTGGAACACAAATGAAGATCCTTTTGGTGAAATCTGAGAGCTTTCGGTCCCTCCATAGACAGCTATGCAACTACCCCTTTGACGCTTCAAAAAAGTTCATAAAGCATAAAACGAATCCATATGAATTGAGTGGTTTAGTCCAAATTTTCCGAAGAGACTCGATCACTTTATACGAGGAACAGTTTGAATTTAGGATTTTATTCACAGATAAACTATGTCTGCTTATTCTACTATTAACCCTAACCTAACAGTCTACTAACACTCTGAGAGCTAGTTGACTTGACATGTTGCAAATTATCTTTGAAGTATGTTGTCTTCAAAGTTAGTTGTCATGTAGTTGCAAAGGTATTTATAGTTAGTAGGAATATCGAAATAAAGTGTACCCAAAAAGGATTCCGATTAAAGAAAATGTATTTGGAACATATCCATAGTTAAGGTGATAACTAGTTGGGACACTTGACCTGTGTGATCTTGAGTATCTGACATGTATCCACTACTTTGTCCAGTTCATTAAATGTCATTGCAAAAATGGCTCATATGATTAAAGACAGTTCGGAGGAAGTCAAGCATAATATTTTTGTGATATCTAATACAATGCCATTCATAAATTTATGTGTGGCTTAAATGTCCTTATACTTTATGAGGCCACTGTATTATCTTACAGAATTTACCTGATATTCTCGATTCTTAGATCAGATTTATAAAAAAAAAAAAAGCATTTTCTCTTATATATTTATGTATATGTTTTTTTATTTTTTTTTTATTGTATTGCAGTGATATCTCTTGTCTGGAGGAGGAGTTAAGAAAAGTGACCTCTGCTCTAGTTGAAGAGTTTCTTGAGCCTGACAAGAACAACCTGCTTCGCAGATCAGTATAGCTTTCTTTCACTCGTGAGTCGTGGTAAGATTGTTGTCCTCATGGGCATCTCATGTAAACCAGTCCCAATAGGCCTGTCAGTGTACCGTCCTGTGAATGTCGTTTTATCACTGTGAAATTATTTGAAGCATTATCACCTCATGGCTCTCAAACAAAAAAGTAAATATGACTGCCTTTTCATTTCAGTGGTTTATATATGACAAAAAATATTGTCATGATCGTTTTCTTTTCTTTCTTTTTTTTATCTCAATTGAATGTGTCTTGGTCTGAGAAGAAATTTACGAGGGTTTGATTTTATTTTTGTAACATTTTTCAAGAAACCGTCTTAACTTTATCTTTGAATGCCACATTATAACCATTACTTTTGTTGTATATCCCACCTGCTTTGATTTGATGTCTGCTTGTGTCCAGATTTCATGAATATCACTCCACATTATATTACATATGTTATTTTAACCCATGATCTGCTCATTGTTCTCTGAGGTTTTGCTGAGAGTTGCTGCTGCTACCTTTTTAAAGCTCCGTGAGCATGTGTATTTGTTGTGCTCTCATAAACCTGTCCATATTATATAAATATATATGTTGATGTTCACATATGTGTTGCAAGGTGTGTTGACGCTCACACCCTTTATGTTGCGTTTTATGCGTTGATAATCAAGAAGCAAGCAGGACAGCATCTTGTTGCTCCCCTGAACTTCTGCTGGCTTCATGCTGGATACGCACAGAGTATAGGTAATTAATGGAAGAATCTGTTTTATTTTTTAAACTTCTGGTTTCTGCTGTACATAGTTTCATGGGCATATTTGTCTTTTGTGGGTTATATACACAATGTGCAAGTTGCAGTAAGTTATATAAGTGCTATTGGCTTGCAAGCAAGACAAGCACGGCATTACACTCTACTGATAGATAACGAGAAGGATTATAATTATTCACTCTTTAGCTGTTTGGTTACTAAGAACTTATAAAACCGGTCAGAAAAAAAAGTTGGTCACATTATTGTTTGGCAGTTTTGTTTCCTAACAGTTCTCCATCACTTAAGAAATTTATTATTTGGGCAGTTCTTTGTCGGTTTAGGTTATTATTTATTCTAAACGCAATGATATCTACTCTATTTATTTATTTGGTTCTATCTATGACTATGCAGTCGTACAGCCATTTCTACCATACCTTTGTTTTTGTTTTTTTAGCAATGCTATTAAATGGCACAAAGTCAATATTAATTGAGACAGTGATATTGTATTGTTATACTGAGTGTATATTACAAATATCCTCAGTGTACTATTGTCTGATTGAAGGCACTTCATAATCCTATTCAGATCCAAATCAAAGTTCATGAAATGTAAAGTATATTAGTGTTTTGAAAGAATAATACATATTTTTGTTGATTATTTGAGAGGGTCAAATAGAGTGTACCTGATTTTTGAGGTGGAAAAAAAAGATATTTTGTGATATTTTTGGAAAACCAAAGGAAGAACCGAAAGTACAGATGTTTTTTTCTGTCTGCATTATTGTTTCAAGTAAATTATTAATTTGCTGTGCAACCTTGACATTCCTTATGTACACCTCTACAAATAAATTGTTGTATTTGTAATGTGTTGTGTTTATGCCTTTCAATGAATATAGGAAATCATTTATTTTTGTAAATATTTCTGAATAGGAGCTTTATCCGTCTTTAAAATCTGGACAATCTTCTGGCCCTAGTAATCTGCAATGCTTGCTAATAGCTATTACAGAGGAAACACATTTTAAAATGACATTTTCTATAGATTAAATGAATGTAACGCTGTTCAGTGACAGTTTCTTCTGCCGATATTGAGCTTAGTGTGTTCCCCCTGAGATCCTGAAGTATTATATGTAAATAACTGAAATGTAGACAAACAGTCATATGAGATGAGGCGGTCCCTTGCTGTATTTTGCTTTTTACCAGGTAAATGGGATAATGCCCGTTTAATATGTTGGGAATGGCAAGACCACTTATCCACATCCAAACTGACGGAAATGGGTGGATTAAACCTCTGGTTCTCAACCAGGGAACAAGGAGGTTGATTGCCACTGCACTAATTATATAAACCTCTTCCACTTGGATATCATAAATTTCAGTGATGTCTGTTATTGTGAATATTTCTGTCAGGAACACACATGACAATAAATGATTAGGAAATTGTATTGAATAAATTGCAATTCAAGTTGATAATTAAAATTTGGCGGCCATACCTGGCAACCTCTTGTGAATAGACAAGAGATGGAATTGGACAAATTAAAATGCTTAGAAATCTTAAGAATAAATACAAATTAGTAGGCAATATGTTTCAGTTCTGATCAGTCTCCTGACCAGGGGCGTCATGCAAGCCAAAATTCTGGGGGGGCACAATCTGAGATGTTGCAATTGGGGGGCCCTTAGAAGTCGCGGAGCTCAAGTCAAAAGTTAGTTTTTGCAGTAAAGTGTAGTCTAGCAACTCTCCGTTGGCATTCGAGCTGGAAAAACCAAACTATGGTCAGGCCAATCACATCGTGTATTGAGTTGGTGGGCGGGCTTAACATAATGACGGCAGAGTTGTGACGGTTCCCCCGTGTGATTTCCATAGGTGATTTGAATTCCCTGCTACTTGAAAACAAAGAAGATGCTGCTGGCGAACAGCGGTCTTTCGAATCGGCTTTGGCCGCGACTCTGGAGGGAGTTAAGAGAACGTCACTTAAGTCATTCTTAAAAAAGGAAGATGTGTTCGGAGTTTTGACGACCGGATACGGCAAAAGTTTAATATATCAACTAGCTCCGCTGGTGGAAAAACGCTCAGGACTCACTCAGCCACAGCCGTTCGTTGCTCTGGTTGGTTGTAGCGCTGTCCTATTGCATGCAGAGGGAATTTGAAAGACAACCGTTTATCCCGCCCCTCGGATTGAGGTATGCCAATTGGGAGTTCCCAGACCTAACATCTTGATGTAGGTCTGGCTTGCCAGGCTAGGCTAGCTATCGATAACGTTACACTGACACAACTTAAAGGTGACCTATAATTCAAAATTGAATTTACCTTGGTATAGTCAAATAACAAGAGTTCAGTGCATGGACATGACATAGAGTGAATCTCAAACTGGACTGTTTTCGCGTTCTCGTTTAATTCACGTTTATGAAAAACACCCCTGAAAAACGGTCGGTTCTCCACACAATACCGACTGTGACGCAATAGTCGGGATCATTAATATGTACGCCTCCAAATATTTGCATAATGCCAGCCCTCAATGCCAGGCGGAACTGCGCAGCCGAAGCATGGCAGTTGCTCAGTGTGGATGTACACATGAACACAAAAGTATTTTTTAGTTCCTTCATCTGAGCCTCTGAAGAAACAATGGGTTAATTTTATTTTCTCTGGAAATTTCCAAACATTTCACCGACTGTTTCCTCAACTTGGGCCAATACAGAGCTGGCCTCGGATCGAGCTACCAAGCAACACTTTCTGATGTGTAATTGTTCAAGTTCAGACAGGTAATCTTTCTCTCAAAATCGTTCAATACTGTTTATGCATCAGTAAGTCAAGCCAGTGACTAAAATATCAGCTTCACATCGTTTCTTTTAGTAGGATGAAAATAATCGTATTTAAATTGTGAACAAATTATATACAGAAAGCGATCAAAGAACAATCTTTCCACACAGCGCGAGTTTATCTGGACACTTGCCAAACTCGTTATGAAATCAATGACGCACGTTACTGCACAACGAAGCTCTTACTGTATTTACATCATCGTGTTTGCATTGGTGAAAGCAGAGAGAGTGCAGAAACTGCTTTGCAATGATAAGATCTTCATTCTCGCGATCACAGTCATCTGCTCAATGCTCATCACGGCAACATTTTATGTGATGGGAATAGATCTAAATACTTTAAAAACATCTCACGATTCGTTAATCTCGATAGCTGTTATAGTAAAAACGTATAATAGCAGTAGTAAAAGTATTCGGGAGAGAGTTTCACATGTAATGCGTAGCTATTTCATATGCAAGCATGTCAGCCAATCACAGCAGTGGCCGCGGTTACACTGAATCCCACAGCAGACACGCCCCTTCAAACAGAGTGTTCAAATCAGAGGCTAAAAGCAGGCTAGGAAAAATGCCATTTATTTCTAAATTATGATTATTTTTTATCTAAAAAACATACTAACATTATGAGGGTATGTGAAACTGTGAGATATTGAGCGTAAAAGTGTGTGATCGTTTTGACAGGTTTATGCAAATACTAGAAGTGTGATTTCTAATATTCATTGTACTGTATTTTGCTTGTGACAAAGTAGCTTTCCTGGTAATATGTGATGACAAATGCTATAACCGTTTGTGTATGTGTTTTCTAGAGAGAAAGGCTGCTACTGTTGTCTATGTTAGTCAGGCTGAGTTTGTGAAGGGTTCATTTGAAGTTGTGACAGAGAAAAAAAGAGACAGTGAGACTCATTTTGATGTGAAAAGCCAACTTCATTGTTTTAGTTCAATTTACACAATCCTGTCGAATTGAAGTTCCTGAAATTCTGCTTAATTAATGCTGCGCCGTTCAAAACGCAGTCTGGAATAAAAAACCCTTTATAATTCTAGCTCTGGGTCTGGTGTCATCACTATCTTCCACACCGGGCCACACATAAAATATTAAACTTATTCACTAACTCAACTGGATTTGCTCCAAAACAGTTTGACTCGATTTCTTGAGTTTCTGGGGAACTAATATAAGCATCTAGGACTTTTTCAGATGTGAATGAGTTATAAGAACGAGCATACTGGGCTAATTTCTTGAATTTGCTAGTTTAGTCGGGGCGTGAAGAGATATAGAGCTGAGTATCATCGGCATAACAGTGAAAACTAATCATGCTTCCTAATGATATCTCTCAAAAACTTTTGTTAATATAGTGTAAAGCTTATAATTGAAACTGTTAATAGAAAGCACAGCTACAGATAACACTTAAAAGTTGTGATCCATAAACAACAGACTGTTCCGGCAAAATAGGAATGGCTACGTCTTGCAGGAGAAGCTTTTGTGCATATTGCCTGCATTGTACTCTTTTCTGGAAGCTGTTCTTTGTAAAATGTGCAATGCACAGACAAATGTTGAAGTTATAATGTTCAGGGACAGAGTTAAAAATATGTTTTACCTCTCTAAGTTTATCAGCCTTAAGATAAACTTTTCCCAGGGTGTAAAAAACACAGCAACAACTCTTCCTCTTCTCTGAAGTAGCCCAACATGGCCTCACCCCCTTTGTTGCATGTTCCCGGGGGCAGGGTGCATGAAAATTTTAGGGTTTGTGATGTCACCAACCTGGGAAGACAATCGTTGTAGTCCCTACCAGCCATTTGTTTTAATCCTTAAAAAGCGATTTCTGTAAAATAAAATATCTCCCTTTGCATTGAGGTTTGGGTGAACTTTGCAGATGTTTTTTATGCTCAAACAGAAACATTACACACTAACTAAAGTTGAAAAAGTGAAATCAAAATCAAGGACCCCTTTAAGAAAACTACACCATATTCATTACATTAGCAACTTACAAATCCTTTCTGCACACATTCACAAGAGCTATTACATACTGACGCTATTTAACCTACACAATTAAAATTCAATAAATTTAAACAACAGAGCTTAATTTTCTAAAGCTCACCTTCTGCCTCAAATAACTCAGTCACCTCCTCCCCCTGTCTCAGATCTTCTATAGTCAAGGCATGAGTGATTATCCCAGACAGTTTGGGATAGTTTATAGGTCAAGAAATAGCTTGTACAATAAAAAAGAAAAGTATTAATATTATTATTATTATTTATTAATCACTGTGTGAATAATAAGTTCAACACACCAGCAGCTCCAGAAAGAAATGTGTAAATTAGCAAAAACAGCGACATGATCATTGAATCAAACTTGAACTCGTGAATCAAATCGGCTCTACTCGTGAATTAATCATTCTGACAGTTTTTTTATCAACTGGTTTCTCCTATTCATTTAAATGAATCGACTCAAATGATTCATTCAAAAATCAGTCATCATTACTGTAACAAGGTTCAGTTGTTATGGGAAGAAGGAGGCGGGAACCGGCGAACATTCAACAAGTTTAATAAATAAAATAAAACAAATACAAAATGAAAGCAAAAGCCAGCAGCCCCTCGCGGACGACTGCTGGCCACACAAAACACAACATAAAATCCAGGCCTGGCCTCTCTCAATCTCCACTGTCGTAGCTCCTCCTTTATGCCTCCGCTCCTCCGTGAGAGATATGAGACCGGTACGTCTCACAGGTGTCGCTCATCAGCAATCACGCCACCGGCCTCGCACCGCTCTCTCATGGCCCTCGGCCTCGTCCTGCTCGCCACATACCCCCATCGGCCGTCGCAGGCCGGGGGGTACCCACGAGTCTACGCTCTAGTCCCCCCCTCTGGGGGGACCGATCACGGTGGCCGCAGCACCTGGGGGTATGGACAGACGAAGCGAGAAAAAAAGGAGACGGAAGCATGAGGAGTGAGAGAGGGAGAGAGGAAAAAAAAATCTCGGTCCGGTTCCCAAAACGCGCTGCGATCTGGTCCTCCACCAGCTGGGCGATCTTCTCTGCAGTGCCTGGCGGTGGCGCTGGATAGCCCTCGGTGGACGGCTCGATACTCCTCCGCCGCCTGGTGGACGGCGACGGCTCCTCCGGGTTCGGGCAGACGGCAGGAGACCCCCGTTCCCTGCTCCTACCCTTCATGGCGGATGGCAGCAGGCTCCGGCGAACGGCGCCGACTCCTCCGCTCCCTAACGGACGGCAGCCACCCCTCCAGCACCCAGGCGGCCGGCAGCGAGCCCGACCGTCCCTCCGCCAACTCACTCCAGCGCACCACCTCGAGCGCCCATGGTGGCGGAATCTGCCCGCCATGCTCGATTGCACCGCGGATTCCCAACAGCGGCGAGGGCTCTCTGACAGCGCGTTCCTCTTTCTTCCTGGGTTTCGGCACCAGTGTAACAAGGTTCAGTTGTTATGGGAAGAAGGAGGCGGGAACCGGCGAACATTCAACAAGTTTAATAAATAAAATAAAACAATTACACAATTAAAGTATAAGCCAGCAGCCCCTCGCAGACGACTGCTGGCCACACAAAACACAACATAAAATCCAGGCCTGGCCTCTCTCGATCTCCACTATCGTTCTTCAATCCTCTAGGACTTTTTGTTGTTTTGATTTCGGGGTGGATGTTCACTTACAATAAGTCAGGCGTCATTGCCTTTTTTTAAGGGGTTTCTTGTTTTAAAAAAAATGTCTTTTATTTTGAAATTTAGTCATGGTCCTGTTTCCTGGTTTGTCTTGTGATTCCCTTGCCTCTCTTAGGATACACATTGAAAGAGTAATAGGAGTTCTCCGTCAAAAGTACACAGTCTTGCAAAGCACTGTCCCCATAAGTTTCACGGACATAGACAGAGAAAATGATGTGACCTAAGATTGTGAGCATATGTTGTGCACTTACAAATGTGTCTGAATCTGTGGTGCCCTTCCAGTGATGGGGATGTACAGTAAATTGAACTGATGTGACTGGCTACAGATGTGCTCAACCAGGAAATAAACCTTTTTGTCTCTCACTTCTTGCTTCCTTGTTGTGACATTACTTTTGATCATTTTGATCACTCGCTATTCTGATGCGGGGTCATCCACCCATTCTAACTGAATTCCACCCAAGCAGATATTTGTTCTGGTGTGTTTGATATGAATGACCTACCGGCAGTAGCACCACTTTTGTTGACTATGATTGGTAAATGCTGCTGGTTTTGGTGCAGAAAAACATTTGGCTAGCAGCTCTGGAATGATACATTTTTTAAAGAAGTCACAAGCACATTCCAATTCTTTGTCAAAGTATGCCACATCAGGAGTGACACGTTCAACAAAAGGTGAAGTACTTTCTCTTTCAGTCCACAGAATGAAATCACAATATGGTTTGTCAGTAACAAATAGCTGCATCTGCACTTGATAATAGTATGCATGGTCCCGCTTCAGTCTAATTTTTCCTTGCGCATCTTTTTCAAGGCAAAAGTGTGCAACAGAATTTGCTGCCTCATTAACAGAAAGGTCCTTTACAGAAAATGGGCACTTAATTTCTATGACACCTGAACCACAACAGCTGCAGGAAACATATCCATCAGGTGAGGCCCCAATAAATGGGTGCAGGGGTGAAATCCTGAATCCAGCTGTTCCTACCATGACATCCGTGTGTGAGAGGCGATGCTGCATTTCATAGTATTTTCTTGCCAATTCCTCGTGCTGACATCCCCATCTGAAGAAACAACAATAACATTAGTTTTGGACAATAGTAATGCCACCCCACATTGGTACCTCCCTGCTCTTTCAAATTGACACTACTTGGTTTTACACTCCTGCTTTTTTAGAATAGTACTTCCTGGATTTACCCTCCCTGTTCTTTTACATACATCCCATTCACTTGATTGTACACCATCTGGAAATTACAATTTTATACACAGGAGCAGTTACACACTGCATGCCCTATTTTACCCTAATCCTTCTATGCTCATGAATACCTGGTAGCCTCACTGGTGAAACTATGTGACTTTGGGTAGCATATTTGTCTTATCAGAGACATATATGCAGGCTTTCTGCCGTCTGTCTTTGTGGCTGCTCTGAAGGTAGATCCTGTTACCCTACCACTCCTTTGCTCAAACCAGATTTTGGACTTGGACTGGACCCGGGTCTCCTCCTCTACTATATCACTCTGAAAACATGATAATCCAAACTGTTAAACTGTTACTGTTAAACTGTTAAACACATAACATTTTAAGTACATGATAGATTTAAAATTTTGCTCAATTAGCCACATAAAAACATCTCACTCAAATGGAGAACAAATACTGCAGTATATAGTCCACTACAAAAGTTGATAATGAAAGACTGCCACCCTTCATTCAAAAGACCTTGAGATATGTTTGGTAATTGTAACTGAATGAATTAAAAATTAATTTGCTATGTTTTCAGATAAATATATTTGTTTCTTTAAAATTCTAATTAACTTGAACTTTATTCTCACCTGAATCATAAATAATTTATTTCTGTATAAAATAATACTACCATTAAAAACACTTTTGTTTTTCTTTTTTAAACAATGTAGAATGTGTAACTTAAAAATAAAAAGAGTAGTGCTCTGTTTTATTACAAGAAATAAAAACCAATGCAATATGATGAATGTCCAAAAGATGAGATAATATTAGCTTTTCAACAGCGTGTGTGTGTGTGTGTGTGTGTGTGTGTGTGTCTGTGTCTGTGTGATTTTGGTTGGGTGACAGAGGTTACAGTTTGACAAAACTCTTAACTTGACCCTGTTAAGAGGCTAAAAGCAGGTTTAGAACTTGCCCCATTGAAGTCAACAGGGTGCGAATTTTAAAAAGAGGATAACCCGGTGTAGGCAACACCGATTTTTGTCGTTTTTGTCTGTACTGACAGCACTCCAAATGTACAAAAAAATGAGCTCAATGTTAAAATTGACCGGAGTTCTCCTTTAATAATTTTTTAAATAATTGAGCCAAAACCAAAATGCGTTAGGTTGTGCCCCGCTCTCCCCTATTTATTTGATAAAGTATGCAGACAGCTATTGTTTGTACCTCTAAAAACTGATTTCTGAATCCTTAATAATAAAAAAGCCAGGTTCAGTCTGATAGTATAATACTTTACATGCAGAACAAAATATTGTAATTATACACCAGTTAAAAAAAATAGACAAATATTTTTTTGTAAATTGATAATACAATTATAAAACACTAATAGCATTTTAAAAATTATTTTTTAGTATCTTATATTCTATATATAAAGTTATTAATCTGAGAATACAAAATGGATTGACACCTTCATTCTTTCAGTTAAGAAAGTTATGCTCTGATTGTGTTTCTAACACCCTTATACAATTTTTCACAAACATTTATTAATTGAGGAGGTAATTTAAAGGAAATCTGTATAGAATTCAGAGAGGTGAAAATGATCACATTTAGTGCATTAAAAACTAAAAGGTGAGTGACTGCTTGATTGAAAAATTATCTTACATTTTTTTCTAACTTGGTTTGGTACAACAGAAACAAAGCAGTCTATTTTGAGGCTTTTATTACATGTCTAATTTTTTTGCGGATATCAGGAAAGTTTAGACCATAAACAATAGGGTTTACAAAGGGTGGTATTACAATAAAGTCAAGTGAAAGGATAACAGTCAGCGCTATAGGAAGTTCTCCATTAATAAATCGACTCAAAATGAGCTCACAAAAAATAGCAACTGAGTAATTTAAAAGGATCACCATGTGTGGAATACAAGTTTTATATGCTTTGCTCCTGAACTCTCGTGTGCTTCTTTGACAAATTATAATAATTCTGACATAGGTATACAGTATAAAACAAAAAGGGATAAAAATTGTTGTGATAGTTACAATCAGACCATAAATATTATTAATAGTAATGTTCACACATGAGAGTTTGACAATTTCATAGTTGTGGCAGTACACCTTTAGCAATTTGTTACCACAGATTGTCAGCCTTGCAGTTAAAAGACCACCAATACCAACAAAAGTAATTGGATAAATCCATGCTATAAATATTAGAAAAGTTAGAAACCGTTTGGTAATTATGTTGTTGTAATGCAAAGGTTTACTGATTGCAACAAACCTATCAAATGCCATTAGCATCAATATTGTAAGCTCAAAAGCTGCATATGAGTAAATGACAAAACTCTGTATGAGACATGCTTCATAGGAGATTATATGCGCATCATAGAGCAGGTCTGTCAATAACCTTGGAAAAAAGCCAGCTGTACCATATACGGAATTGATGGACAAGCATAAAATCAGAATGTACATGGGCTTGTGCAATGTCTTTTCCAGAAATATTACAAGAATAATAAGAACATTAAAGAATATGACAGCACAGTAAAAAATAAACCCCAAGGTGAAGAAAGCATATCTCATGCACCCAAGATTTTCAAACAACATGAAGTAAAAATATGTTCCATTTTCCATTTTCCTTACACAATGAAAACTTTAATTGACCTGAGGAAGAGAGCAAACAAAATGTGTATGTTTTTACACCATAAATAAATACACAAACAAACATGCAGCTTAGAATGTTTAGCCACAGTGTCTTACTGTGTAATGTGACCTTAACTGTAAATAATGTTATACAAATAATACAACTTAATAATATAATAGTTATGCAATTAAATGAATGCACAATATAACACCCTCTAAGAAAAACAGGGTTTTTTTTCACATTATTAGAAATACCTTCAAATACTCTGAAATGACCACCATTGCATCTTCATTTAAAATTGCAGGTAATGAACTCTATTTGTGTTCTGATTTAGTTTGACTGTGAAGTCACCAGTGCATGCTAGTGTTTTTAAAGTATCTAACACGTCTCAGGAGGCCTGGTGTGGCCTCTGAAGTCCTCTGAAGTTTGATTTCACTGGAAACAAATACATAGAGCATATAAATTTAGCATAATTCTGCCTCTAGTGCTTTCTAACCTTTCCACTGCAAATAATAATTATTAACTCTTTCCTCACCAGCATTTTTTATCATTTTCACAAAGCTTTCATGGCCCCCAGAATATTTTGTTTTATGAATATCTGAACATGCAATATATCAAGTCAACTCAAGTCACCTTCATTTATATAGCACTTTTAACAATATAGATTGTTTCAAAGCAGCTTTACAGTGATAATAGGAAATTAAAGTAACAGAGATTGTTTTGGCTTTACAGCAGCTCTAGGATAAAGTTATTTTCCAGTTAAAGTTAGTTTTGATTGATTCACTTCCGTTGCAAAGATAGTTATTAACTTAGGGGCCGCTAACACTACACCTACACTACAACAGAAAACGTACTCGGTTACTAACGTAACCTCGGTTCTCTCTAGAGAGGGAACGAGTACTGCGTAATAGCTTTACGCTAGGGGAAAAACTCTTTTCCACGAGATATTGAAGCCAAAAATTATCCTTAATTTTTTATTAATGTAAAACGCTTTGCAGCAGCAAGCAGACATAGGCGAAACAGCTCGCGCGCCTATTGGTTGCTCTGCAGCAAATGCAGCAGCCTATCGAGAGAGTCTCGTTCAGGGCCCAGGTAATTTCCCTGTCCGCCCTTCCGGTTCTCAGTGAGGAGGAGGATGCGAGTCTCCTTTGCCCCGTCAGGGCATTGAGAGCTTATGTGTCACGCTCGTCTGTTTTCAGACAGACGGAGCAGCTTTTTGTTTTGTTTGGCGGGCGTTCCAAGGGACTCGCCGCTTCAAAACAGAGCCTATCCAGATGGATAGTGGATGCCATTGCGCTCGCTTACTCTGCAAAGGGCCTACAGTGCCCCTTGGGTGTCAGAGCGCACTCCACGAGAGGCGTGGCCTCTTCGTGGGCTTGGTCGAGCGGGGTTTCCCTGCAAGATATCTGTACGGCCGCGGGCTGGGCCTCGCCGTCTACATTTATAAAATACTATAACCTGGAGGTACCCGCCTTACAAGCTAAGCTTTTGGCGGTCTAAAATTCAGTGCTATCTGCCCCGCTGTGCGGCCCAGATGCTGAGTTTACTGCAGCCCCATGAGTGTTGACACACGTATGGCCACCCAGATCAGGCTGAAAGCTTTCACCCTGGCTGCGCGTTTTATTGTCATATGATAGCCCCGCTGGGTGCTTTTTTATAGGGAATGACGCTTCCAGCCTCTCTTCCTCCACTCTATGTGAGTTTATGGTGATTATGCACTACATGAGCCCTGGGCTTTGGCCCTCGGGACTTTGGTGTTGGATCCCTGTACGCACGGCGTGTTGCATTGTGTTCCCCTAGCGTAAAGCTATTACGCAGTACGAGAGATACTCTCGTAAGAGAACGTACTCGGTTACTAACGTAACCTCGGTTCTCTCTAGAGAGGGAACGAGTACTGCGTATCTTGCCGTGCTTGGAATACGCGCTGGTTCGCTTCAGCGATAAAAAACAGCTTGTACCAGCCTAACGAGCATATTTATAGGGTGAGACCACGCCCCTTCTGGCGGGACGTGACGATATGGGCGCGAATTGCCCCCATTGGTCATTACGTCACGCATACAAATTCTTTGGTTCCTTCTCGTCTCGTGTTGATGTTGTTGTATGAAAGCACGTGTGTAGTGGGTGTGACTGAGTGACATTCCTTGATCCGCTCCAGCTGTTCATCATTCCATCACCAGCTGCAGCCGATCTCATCACACTATAAATACTCACTGTTTTCTCATCCCCTTTGTCAGATCGTTGGTTGATGTCTCTCGTGTGGTGTTCCTGTTCAGTCTTCCTGCCATCCCCGTTGTCGTGTTCCCGTGGATTCGTTGTCTTAGTGTTGGATTATCGTTTTGTGTCTTCACTTCACGGACTACTCACTTCACGGATTCTTCACTTCACGGACTACTCACTTCACGGATTTCTCACGCTGGCCATCTAGTCCCTGCGTCATCCGTCCACGCCCGTGTCATTTCATCTGTTCATTGTGTCTCACATTAATAAATCTGAGTAACCTGCAACTGCTTCCTGTTTTGTTTGACGATCATGACAGAACGATCTGACCCAGCTATGGAAGCAGCAGGGGTATCATCTACCACGTTGGAGGAGTTCGTTCACCACAGTGTTAGGAGAATGGACTCACAAGAGAGGATTCTTGGTGACACGGGTCGTGCGATACAAGCCTTGGTGACGCAGGTGTCCGAGCTCACCCAACGATTCCAGCTTCTTCAGGTTCCCACTGCGCCCCCCACACCCGCCGTTCCCCCCACACCACCAGAGAATGCTGCAACCCCGGAACCACGTCTGCCGGTCCCGGAAGCCTATGCGGGTGAGTCTGCATATTGTCGAGCCTTTCTGACAAGGTGCTCTATGCATTTCGCGCTGCAACCCAGGACATTTAATAATGAACAGGCCAAGGTGGCGTTCGTTATAACCTTGTTGACAGGGAAGGCGGCGCTATGGGGAACGGCGGTGTGGGAGAATCAAGACCCATGCTGTGCCTCGTTCCAGACACTCTCCGCGGAGATGAGACGGGTCTTCGACCGAGCCGTCGCGGGGAGAGAGGCCGCTAGGGTGTTGGCCGACCTCCGTCAAGGTGAGAGGTCGGTCTCGGATTATTCCATCGAGTTCCGCACCCTGGCGGCCGAATGTCATTGGAACGAGGAGGCGCAGTGGGACATGTTTCTGCATGGGTTGGCTGACCGCGTCCAGAGAGAGATCTATGCCCTGGACCTCCCCACGTCGCTGAACGAGCTGATAGAGTTGGCTCTGAGAGTGGACGCTCGACTGACTAGAGCCGGAGGAAGAGTCTCGTCTATCCGACCTCCGGGAGGAGTAGAGAATCAACGGTCCAGCGGCAGGGACGCGGTCAGCCCAGTATTCGATCACGAACCCATGCAGGTGGGTTGAGCTCGGCTTTCCCGGGAGGAGAGGGAAAGGCGGAGGTCCCAGGGCCTTTGCCTATACTGTGGAGGTGCGGGACACTATGCTTACAACTGCCCGGTAAAAGGCCAAGCCCGATAGTAAGTATGAGGCTACTATTGGGTGGGATCTCCGCCGAGAAGACCTCATCCACATCTACCCTCCTCCCGGTAAGACTTAGATGGTCAGTTCACCAGCACGACTGTCGAGCACTTCTGGATTCTGGGGCGGAAGGTAATTTTATGGACAGCACTTTTGCACACAGATTTCAGATTCCTCTCAAACCACTCACACAGAAGATTGCAGTACACGCTCTTAACGGTCAAGAACTTCCTACCATTTCTTTCACCACTGAAGATATCACTCTCATTACCTCAGGCAATCACTCAGAGACTATTTTTTTTTACATATTGGATTCACCCCTGGCACCCATCGTTCTCGGACATCCCTGGCTTATCCGTCACAACCCCCGAGTGGACTGGCATCAGAAAGCTGTACTGGAGTGGAGCAAGGGATGTCATAAGTCTTGTCTTGTGTCTGCTTGTCCGTCTGGGCCTGTTTTTGTGTTGCAGGAGGAGGCAGGGGATTTGTCTAACGTGCCCGAGGAGTACCACGATCTGAAGGAAGTGTTCAGTAAGTCTCGGGCTGCTTCTCTCCCTCCGCATCGTCCCTATGACTGTGCCATAGATTTACTGCCAGGTAAGTCTCCGCCTAAGGGCAAGTTATACTCGCTTTCGGTCCCAGAGAGGGAGGCCATGGAGAAATATATTTCTGATTCTCTAGCAACCAAGTTCATCCGTCCTTCCTCTTCTCCAGCGGGGGCGGGGTTCTTTTTTGTGGGGAAGAAGGATGGGTCTCTGCGACCTTGTATTGATTACCGGGGGTTGAATAACATCACGGTAAAGAATACTTATCCTTTGCCGTTGATGTCTTCAGCCTTCGAGAGGTTGCAGGGAGCGTCCGTCTTCACGAAATTGGACTTGCGTAACGCTTATCATTTGGTTCGCATTAGGGAGGGGGATGAATGGAAGACTGCTTTTAATACCCCCAGGGGGCACTTTGAATACTTGGTCATGCCTTTCGGCCTGTCCAACTCCCCAGCAGTCTTCCAAGCACTGATCAATGACGTGTTGCGAGACATGATTGATCAGTTCATATATGTCTACCTGGATGACATATTGATATTTTCCTCGTCTCTCCAGGAACATGTGCAACACGTCCGACGAGTGCTTCAGAGGTTGTTAGAGAATGGGCTTTTTGTCAAGGCGGAGAAATGCGATTTTCATGCACAGTCTGTTCCTTTCCTAGGGTACATCATTTCGTCTGAGGGAATGCGTGTGGACCCTGAGAAGGTTAAGGCTGTGGTAGAGTGGCCAAGTCCAGATTCCCGTAAGGCCCTACAGAGGTTTCTGGGGTTCGCCAATTTCTATCGACGTTTTATTCGAAATTTCAGCCAACTAGCCGCGCCTCTGACTGCCTTGACCTCCCCCAGAACTCCGTTCAGGTGGTCAGATACAGCCGAGGCTGTGTTTGCCAAACTCAAGAGCCGCTTTGTTTCAGCTCCCATCCTCGTTGCCCCTGATTCTTCACGTCAGTTCATGGTGGAGGTCGATGCGTCAGAGGTGGGGGTAGGAGCAGTTCTGTCCCAGCGCTCTTCCGCAGACGACAAGATGCATCCTTGCGCGTTTTTTTCTCATCGTTTGTCCCCAGCTGAACGCAATTACGACATTGGTAATAGAGAGTTGTTGGCAGTCAAGTTAGCGTTGGAGGAATGGCGTCATTGGTTGGAGGGTTCGGGGGTACCTTTTATCGTCTGGACCGATCACAAGAATCTAGAATACATCAGAACCGCCAAAAGACTGAACTCCAGGCAGGCTCGGTGGGCACTTTTTTTCGGTCGTTTTGATTTTTCCCTCTCGTACC